TGGTGTCAATATTATCTAAAAACTCTGAAAGGTGACACATTCTCAGTATGGCAAATGACTGGCTTAGCAAATGATAGTGAAGATTAGGAGTAAATAAGACTCATAGCAATAGACTTAAAAATAATTCAGTCATGATATTGTCATCACATACAAGATAATCACTTCGGTAAGAAAGTAATTATAAAGTGAATCAAGTTCTGATCTTTTAAGCCTTACTAGGAGCTGTTGAGAACATATCCTTACTCATCTTTAATAAATGCCTGAGTTCAGTGCAAAATCCAGTGGATGGATGGGCTTTTAGAATGCTTGAGAGCTGTGTAGACATGCCACAGGGTACAAATTAACCTGTGCTTTTTTCACAGTTGTGCCAACAGAATTGTAGGCGAGTGAGACTTCACAACATTTGCTATTCTATTTTCATGTGCCAGTGCAGGCTCAGCTCTATTTAGGCAAATCCTTGCCATTACTTTTCTGACTTTTTTGTAAAAGATTTCTGCTGACAAAAGGTTCACAGCTCTGCAGAACAATAACCTGTTTCTGTGCTTCACTACTCTTTGCTTTAGAGAGCTATTTTCCACTTTTCTTTCTGTGATTCAGTTTAGAGTCACAAATACAGTGAGCAGAAAGGATAGATTGTTCTCTTCCCTTTTCCTATGTTGTGCAGTTATGCTGACTGTAAAAGTGACAGATAAGTGTTGCAGCAGGGTAGTGCTGTCATCTTCTCTAGAAACAACCAAGAAAACACACTGGGTAAATGAAGGAAGCCATAGATTGGTAGAGTAACATCTCAATCAAAATTGATTTGAGAGTTTTCATGGATTTTATTTTGCTTACAGTGCTAAAAATTACGACTCCTTAGGCACACATATTGGGTTCCCCTCTATTACCCATAACAGTTGAAAATAAAAGTGTAAGTGGTTCTGGTTTTACTACGAGTTGATATGTTTGAAACAATTGTACACTTGTTTTTACAAGAAAGTGGCAAAACTTGTACCACTTAAATATACATTTCAAAATGTGTTTTGACTGGTGAGAAAGTTGGGGAGCAAATTGATTCATGTTCCTAACAAGAGCAAGTGGCTGAACCACTCAAGGGAAGTTGCCTTTGTTCTTGTAAAGACTCAAGTTTGTTGCTCTTGTAAAGACCAAGTAACAAACAGAATAACAAGGTTATCTAAGGTGGAAACCATTGATTGCAGTTCTGCTGGTGTGCAAGGTTTTTGTTTAATAAAGTTCCATTAAGAGTTTAAAAGAAAAAAATCACAGCTGTGAGGAAATTCACTTGAGACAAAGTACATGTTTGAGCACTTAACACAGGAGCAGTGTTTAAGGAGTTCTGTGGAGAAGGGAATTTGCTGTTCCACTGGCGTTTGTACTCTTTACTGATATTCATTTGTGAACACTGTTAAATGTATATAATAATTCCATTCATGATGAAAATGGAAGGCCAAAACAGAAAGTCAGCTTTTTTGCAGATTATGTGTAGAACAAGATTGTGCTGTTACTGTTAATAGAAGGTAAATCACAAAGTTGCTGTGGAGAGGGGAAAGTAAACTGGAATGTAGCTTTAGGGAGAAACTCCTGATAGCAAACTGATTAAAGCAACTCTAAGTTGAAATATTAAAAAAAGGAGAAATTGAGAATGAAAAATGTTGTGAGAATGGAATGAAAAGGAGGCAAGAGTATGTAATATATTGTAATAATAACAGAACAGGCCAAGACAATTTCTAACTGTGCTGGTATAGCCTTATACAACAGAAGAGTGTCTTGTGCTTTGCTGGCACAGGCACTGTGTGCTGGAGGATTCATTTCTTGCCACTTTGTTACCAAAGCTGTACTGACAAGTGTGAAAAAATACAGGAAAGATGAAGAACAACTACTGCAGAGAAACTAGTGTAGATATATTGCTTAAAACAAACACCCCAAACTATACCCCTACACCCAAGTCCAAATCCTAATCTCATAAGGGGTTTAGCTTCTCCTGTTCCTTTTTTTTCCTTCAAAGTTTGTGCACTAGATATGATTCATAACTACTTTTTTTCACATGGCTGTGATTTCTAGTATGGCAAGCAGCTTTGAGCACATTAAAAATTCTACTGAAAAGAGTGAAGAAGTGATATTTATTGTTTCCTAATTCCATAATCATTATAACAAATGGACTAAGACATTTTACAGTCAGATGTAAATGGTTTGGGATACACTTGGAAATGTCAAACCTGTGTGAGCTAGAGAGATGGTTTTTCTTTAAAGAAGATTGAAGAGCTAAAGAATTTTCTGAATTTAGGAATAGCTCATTGCAGCCACTAAAGTGATGCATGAGGGAGAAGGCAGTTTTTGAGCATTCTCTTATGTATATAGGACAGGAGATACAAAATAAACCTTTGTGTTGGATAATAAAGTTTGTCTTTTCTGAGATGCAAACACATTGTTAGACAAAGTACAAAAAAAGAAACAAAGCTGAAGTCTGATAGTAGGTAAATACTTGGTTTCCTGAACCCCATATAACGTTCAAGTGTCATCACAGAAAATGTTATTGTTTCAGACAAATACAAATGGGAAGCAAATTAATACAAGTTAAGATCTTCTGCAAAAGTGAGCTGGAGTTTTGTTTAAAAGGCTCCTAAGGCCATTCACAAGCTCTGAAAGGAATATTTTATCACTGAAAAATGGCAACTGTGGTGAGGGTTTCTGCTTTATTCAATCAGGTATAAATTCCGTATGAGAAATTCAGTTTCTGTTCACATTGTGTTACATCATCCTGTGCCTGAGATTGCCTGAATTTAGTTATAGATTATATTCCAGAAAAGAGTGTTTTAGTTTTAGTAAAGTATTGCATGAGAGTTTCCTTCTGATTCAAATTCTATAATTTGAAAGTGTTACAACTGTGCGATTTCAGCAGATCTTTCTCAGCTATCAAGGTGAGTCACAAGCAGCTTTCTTCTTATTGCAGAGGGGTGTTACCTAAAAATCAGCACTACACTGAAGCAGATTTGAAGTCGTGAATGCATCCATGAGTGAACTTTCTCTGCAGCTTGAAGTGTTTTACATAATTGAGTCTTTTGTATGTGCTCCCCTATTAGTCTACACATAAACCTCCTTTGTGAGTCAGGAAGTTAACACAAAGAGTTAGGTGCTTTCCTGAACTGGCATCCTGAGCATTGTCAAGCTAACCCTGTTTAACTGTTGTGAAGCATTAATCACAGTTCTCATTAAAATAGGTATGAGGGGAGAACTGAAAGTGAATGTACTTTTAAATTTATTAGCAATGCTGTACAGTTTATGTATTCTTCATGCTGAGATCATCTGTATACATGTACTTTTGAGTTTTGTTTACTCTCTGTCATTCCATACATTTGTTTTGTGTAATATCTGTACCTGCCTCTTGTTTTTCCTTCATTCAAAATTTGAATTCTTGTAGGAGTTCTTGGCTGAGAATGTCTTGTATGTGTTATATCAAACATATACTGAAATTGTTCTTGTAATTGAAAAAGTAGTCTGCATCTATAAATGCTTATTCAAATTGTTGTTTTTGAAACATTTATATCCTCTGACGTTTTCTTGGAGGTGGTTGTGGTATCAGGTGATGAACTTCAGGTATTCCCATGCAAATCAAATTCAAAGAGCTAGTACTTTGTATTGCATTTTCTTGTAGTAGTATGAACCACATAAAAGAACCATTACCTAATATTCTTCTAAACAGAAGGTGACTGCATTGTCAAAGACTGCTGGTGAGTAATTGCAGACAGTGTGCCAGATTGTGACTAACTGGGTACAAAATTTTAAGATTAAATCATTTACAAACTAGTAATGACTTTTCAATGCAGCTTTTCTTCCTGTAACCTGAAATACTTAAAATGGACTTCATTTTATGTGTTGACAAAGCATTGTCTGTATTTATTTGTAAGCAAATGCAAAATGGTTTCTTAGAGTACAAGTGCTTCTTTTGGGGTTTTGGGATGACAGCATTCTTCAGAATGAACAAAAGGAAATTAAATAAGTGGCAAGATTGTGCATAAGAAAATAAAGGAAACTTCACTCTAGTCATTATCTGGATATAGTCAATGTAATGGCCTCTGTACTGTGTCCTTGTGAAGTAATGTGGTAGTCTGGATTTCCTTCCTAATGAGTAAGCATTTGTCATTTAAAAATCATCCCTGTGGAATTATCTTCAGTAAAGAATTAGTATAGTTGAAGAGACATATGGATCACGGAAGGCCATTAATTCAGAGATCCTGTTAGAGCTCAGGGGGAGTACATTGCTTTTTTTCCCTATTTATTATATATCCCACAGTATAACAACAAAAATATCCTCAATGCTAGTTTAATGTGAATGCTCATTGATTATGTACAATAGAGATCTTTCATGTGTGAATGCTGCTAGCCTAGGGGAGAAATAACTTGACTACAAAAAGCAGTGAGAATTACCTGTTCATTTGTTAATGTCAGAGTATGTATGGCCACAGTATTCAGCTACCTGGTAGGGACCATACACCAGTGGCTTCTGGAGTAATGGTATTTTGGCTGTTCCTTTTTGTCCTCTCTCAGTAATGAATCTTCAGCACTGCTTTAGCTATCCAGTGTCTTAATTGCATCATGCTTTGATTTAAACCTCAAGCTATGCCATATAGTGTCCACGTTCAGGTTGGAAGTCAGAAGGAATTTCTTCACAGAAAAGTTGTTAAACATTGGAATGGGCTGTCCAAGGAGGTGCTGGAGTCACTGTCCCTGGAGGTGATCAAGAAAAGACTGAATGTGGAACTTGGTGCAATGGTCTACTTGACAAGGTGGTGTTGGGTCATAGATTGGGCTTGATGGTCTTGGAGGTTTTCTCCAACCTAAGTGATTCTGTGGTTCTAAAATCATTGTAACTTTTATGATACTCAAGATGGTATTTTTGTTGTATTATGTATAAAAGGAACAAGTCTGAAGATAAGAAATTGTACATTGGGTTACAAAGACTTAAAGAGAAATCCAGTCTTTGTTTTTTTGTTGCATCCTAGGAGGCTTTTCAATGGGAGGTGGAATGGCAATGCATTTGGCATATAGGTTTCATCAGGATCTGGCAGGAGTCTTTGCCTTGTCTAGTTTTCTCAATAAAGACTCTGCTGTTTACCAGGTGAGTGTATATTAGATATTATGGAAAGCCTGCTTAGCTACATGGAAAACATGGTGATTAAAATTCACTGTACATGTTTATACATCTGAGGCAGTTGATTTGTATTCTAAACTTACACCATTTCCAGGAAATAGATAATCAGAGTATTAGGGAAGTGAGGCTTTAAAACTGTCTTTAAATAGTGCTTTTTTTTGTTGTTTGTTTTGCACAGACAGTACAATATTAAAGTGTAGAAGGAAATTAACAAATGAAATGCTTTACTAGTTGTCCTTAATTGTTAAGGAGTCTGTGTAAGCATAACTATTCTTTGAAAATGTGTGATGCATTATATTTGCTGTCATGAATTTTTTCTGTTTCTCTTATTTGGAGAGGGGTACCTTAAGGTTTACCTTAAAGTAAACCCTATCATTTCTCAAGAGCTGTTGTATTGGAATTTGAAGGCCATTTTTTTCCAATATTTCCTTGTTTATTTCTATAGAGATAGTACAATATGACCCCTAAAATGTAGATCAGTAAATGCAATAAATTGTCACCATGTAATTGTAAATATTCTTTTGAAACTTTTGGCAGTATATCTGACTGACAGTGTCTCCTTTCCATCTAGGCTTTGAAAAGAAATGAAAATGCTCTTCCAGAATTATTTCAGTGCCATGGAACTGCTGATGAACTAGTTCTCTACTCATGGGGTGAAGAGACCAACAAGATGTTAAAGTCTCTGGGAGTATCAGCATCACTTCATACTTTTCCAAACCTCAATCATGAGCTGAACAGAACTGAAATAGAAAAATTAAAATCCTGGATTGTAAAGAAATTGCCTGTTGAAGCACCAAAGGCAAATGAATAAATGAAGATCCAGCCTCATACTTTTTGATTTTTCATAGTTTTAAAATCATGTGTGACATATATATGGGTGTCCCATATCCCTTCTATAAGCACAGCTTCAGGCAGACACTTTTATATTCCATAAAATTCACCTGAAAAAATGGTGCTGATCACTAAACCTCACTTTATTATATGGGTTTCTTTTTCTGTTTTCTTGACCATTTTTTAAGCACACATCAGTCTACAAAAAGTAATAACTGATAATATTAAAGCCATTTCAAAATAATCAAAGCAATATTCAAGAAGCATTGCTGTGAGTCTCCCAGATAATTGTGGGGTTTGTTTTTTTGGTTTTGGTTTTGTTTTGGATGGGAGGGTTAGGCAGGGAGGTGATGGGAAAACATACAGTGGCATCACTGTTTCTAATGGCATTGCAGCAACAAAAGGCCAATTATTTAAATAATACAGTTTTACTTGTAGAAATGCATGCATCTGTTGAAGTTATTTCAGTGAGAGGAACTGTATTGTCTTCAGTTGGATACTCAGCATGTGGGAATGAACCGGCCTCAAAGCAGAGCTGTGTGTCACCTGAAAAAAAACACATTTGTGTTATATTTTAAAAAGTCCTAATTCGCTGTGTCTGGCTATACCACAGGTCCTTGTTATTGCCCTTTCTCATTGTTTTGTTACTTGAAGGTCTAGGTTTGTGTGAGTTTATTGAGCCCTCTGTGGTTTGCAGTGTAGATTTTTAAATAAAGAAGTATCATCGTGATTGCTAAGATCTATCCTGTTTTTGAAGAAATCATTCTTTGGGCCCTGTTCCTGTAGAAACTTATTTTTGCCAAGAGTTTTCTTTTGGCCTGCAAGACCATTTTAAATTAAAAGATGAGAATACTTGACTCCTCCATGAATATTTAAAAGTTGTAAATAATGACTGTGATATAAAGAAAGCTTGTATCCCCTTATTTTAATGGTGGATGATTCATCGCTCTGTCAGTTTGATAAATTAACTCAGAGTATAAATATCTATTCTTATGTAATTGTAATGCTTTTTTTTATTTCTCCCCCCTCTGCCCCATTTTCTACTCCCCAATTGCAGTAATTTTTTTAGCATGACAAGCTATTCAGCTTTTTGCCAAAGCCAATAGATCCAAGTCTCTTGCTTAATCCTCTCCTTTTCCCGTTTTTGAGGAGTGGATCTGAGACACTGTTGTGTTCTCTGTCACAGAAGATTGCTGCCAGTACTGACTATGACTCCAGAAATATCAGCCAGCTCCCAGAGACTAGGTTTAATCCAAATCCTCATGCCCCGAGACCTCAGCCAGCTTTTACCTATCTTGAAGAGTAAGCAAGGGGAAAAAAAATGTCACTGTTCAAGTACAAGGCATGTAATTGGCAGTAGCAAGTAACAACTTCCTGCTGCTAAAAATATTTTGCTGTATTTCATTTTCCTAGCATTAGCAAGTCAGCAGTCTGTTCTGAAAAACAGCATTTTAAATGGTACATGAAAACTCAGCTATTTGAAACAGTGAGTGAACAGCAGTTTTTCCTGGTGCCCTAGGCTTCCTAATTACTGCAAATTAAATTGAAACAGGTGTGTTCAGAGGCAGCTGAGCTAACATTGCCTTGGCCCAGCTCTAATTGCAATCCTTGACAAGTGAAGTAGCGGTATTTTAGGGATAATGCATCACTTTTTACCCCATTTTCTGTTCTTCCTGAGCTCCTATCAGGAGACTCTTTGAACCACTTATGCAAGGTGGCAATTCATTTGGGTGACAAGTGCATTCATATGGGAAACTGGCAGGTTTCTGGCAAGGTGGCTTTTAACAGGATCAGAGAATAGCATAAAACAGTTGAAGGAATGCCATGGAGGGAATAGAAAATATTGCCAAGCCAAACCCAGATCTTTTGGTTGTTTTTGCAATGTCAATAACTGCAAATACAGTGGATACAGGGTTTGGCCTAGTTCCCTTGATATAGGTTGAGAAGCAATTGCAAATGTCCTGACATCCTTAGAAAACAGTAAGTCCCCAGTTTGCATCTATTTTCTCCCATTTTATTGGCTTGTGAGTGAAATGCCATCTTACCAGGAGATTCTTTGTGACACAGGACTGGAAATCCATTAGGTATTTGCTGTAACAGAGTCCCAGATCTCAGAGGTTTTGTGGTCGCTTTTGGGATGTTGAAGAACTCAATAGTTTTCTTTCAGTTTGCAGGAAGTGAGGACAGTGGGACTTGCCTGCCCCTTTAGCTGATGGTGTCCCAGATGGTGCCAAGCTCATACTTGACAGATTAAAGTTTAGCCCAGAAAAATTTGGGTTGCTGGTTGGGTTGCTGGTTGGTATTGAGAAGCAGCCAGAGGCAATATTAGTCCTTGAAGACAGTGAGCCTGCTGTTGGATCTCTAGTCAAATGAAAACCTTAACAGTCAAAATTATCCCAGCCATCTGAGAGCATGTTTCAGAAGTAATTCAGGCAGCCTTTTGACTGACTAACCTCTTTTTTTAACTTGGCCCTTTTCTACTACACTTTAAAAAAATTAATTTTTAATTTGATACCGGAAACACGGTAAGGGCTTATGGATGTTAGCTTTAGAACAGGCTGCAGAGAGCTGCAGAGACTGCAGGCCCATGGCCTCTCAGTCCTGCCTGAGAAAGTATCCTGGGAAAAATATGAGAAGGAATTAAAACAATTCTCAGGGACACTAAACAACCTTGCAGGTGTTGTTTTGCAGCTTCTTGTTTCTCCTTGCAGGAGAGAGTCAGGGGGGCAAAGTGCCCCTGACCAATGATGGTGATGTAGCACTTTGTTAACCAATAAGAGTTTCTTTTCTGTACTTTCCACGTATCTGTCTATAAGACAGGGCTGAAGCAATAAACTAAGGAATTCTCGTGTTGTGACTCCCTTGAGAGTCCAGTGTCGTTCTTTCTAGCCGTTCCCAATCGGAGCGACAAGGGCTTACTTGCCAAAAGGGCATCTCTGCAATGCTTTTGGCACTGCAGCTCCAGGACCTGCCTGTTGATTTCTGGGTAGAGTTTAAAGTTCTTCTTAGAGTCTTTTAAGAATCAAAAAGACATTGCATTTGACTGCATAACTGTTGTTGGGACAGACTTCCTGTACCAGGTGCCAGGGCATACAGAGCCCTGAACTGGTATGTCTTACCAGCTGAATTTAGATTCAGATGAAGAGAATGATAAAGAATGCTACCTTTCTTGTTCATCCCTAATGTTTCACTCCTGATCATACAAAAATATTAAGCCAAGAGATGTCCTTCACTTTTAAGAGTAATCAACTTCAGGTGCTTTCCTTTTTTTTTTTTCCCCCTTTTGTACTTGAGCTTTGTCCTGTTTCTGTCCTGTTTAAAGATACAGTCCTGAAGAGCATTTTGAGGAAGGGATTGCAAAATTTTAGTGCCAAGTGTGGATCTGTGCTACTTGAGCTACTGAAGATATGAGAACATAAACTAGAAAGAGGGCAGCTCTATCCTGCTCCAGAAGAGGCAGAAGCACTTACTTGGCAGTGCTGGTTTATGCTCTTACTGCAACTCTTCTGAGGCTCTTTCTTCTTCCCTCTCAAAGTTAGATAAGACTTTGCCTTTAAAGTACAAACTTTCAATACCATTTAAAAACAACTGGAATAACTGACTGAGTACATCCATTCAGTTTGATATTATTTTCTTGGAGCTTGGTACTCACTGTTTTGGTGAAATACACAATTCAGTAGGCAAAAGAAAAGTAATTTAATAAAATCTTTCATTTCTGGGCTCAGTTAATGTGTTCCATGGTGCTTCAGAAACAAAGCATTAGTGTTTGGACCTGCTTTTCTTTCTACTTTTCTGACACTATGCATTTATATTTCAGATGTTTGAAATTTGTGAGTAGATTGTTGCTGTGAATATGGGTGCCTTCTGAGTAATTCATGTGTTTGTACAGATATATAAAGCCAGAGAAAAAATATGAATAAGGCAGAAATTGGCTGAACACTGTGGGAAGCCAGAAGTCATTGGTAACATAATTTTGACATTAAAGCAAGAAATTCTCTACTTAATTTAATCTCTTCTCATGTTAGATCTTTTGCTGCTTTTTTAGTAAATCATCTTTAAAGCCATTTAACAAGTCTCTACAGATGAAGTGAGCCAAGTGGGTGAAAGTAACTTGTATTTATAAAGATGAGATCCAGATGGCAAAACAGGGAAATGAAAACCTAGTGGACAATGTTAGAACAAAAGACATAGATGGAGGAAAGCGGCTATGAGTTTTCTTTGCAGTTGACACATGTTCTAGAACAGCTGTGAAGACTGTTTGGGAGATCACAGAAGGGAAACCTGTTCTGTAAGTTTTCCATCTTGACTCAACCTTCATTTGAGATGCAGCTGCTTAAGGGTACTCTAGAGAAAGGAAATAACAATTACCAGTGCAGTTTCCTACTTCTGTTTCTTTTCCAAATCCTCTTCTGCTGCATGAACTTGGTATTACTTCTCAGAAGAGAAACTATCAGTTCTATTTTCCATATCACATCTGTTCAAATCTTTCTCTGCACACTGCACTGGGACTTAGCACCCAGCTGTGCCTTGGGTGAGTTCTGTGTTTACTCAACAGCTAGATTAAAAAATCATAATTTAGAAGAGCCAGTGGTGTGATTCCAGAAAGGTCTCTTATTCCCCATGGCCCAGCGTTGAGCCTGAGAACCTGTTGTCATCAAGTTTTGTGTGGGCTTGAAGGGCAGCAATTCCACTCTTCTGTTAAGCATGTGAAGGCTGTCGCCACTGCTTTGGTGAGGAGGCACCTAAAATCTTTAGTGGGTTCAGTGCAAATATGTAGGATCCTTTAAAAATGCAAAAGGTTGTTATCTCCTTATTAAGTGCTTAAAAACAGTTGTGTAGTGGGTGTTAAACATTACTTTTGGACCATTAATTGCTAATGACAAGGAATTTGTCATTTGTCATGATTCCAGAGAACAAATCCAATGAGGCTTTGTAACCTGTGTCCTGATACACAGTGAAGATTGTCAAAATAAACCAGAGAGTATACTTAGAACTTTTCCACCACTACATAGGGCCAGTACTTTGTGGTTGGTGCATATTTTACCCTGGCTTCTTAAAAGTAGTTACTGTTTTAAATTAAATGCAACGTGAAGCAGTAATAATCTAGTAGTCTGCAACTCCTAATAAAAGCATAGAAGAATTAATTGCTTGCTTGTGCTGCCTTGGTTGGTTAAAGGTGTTTTTCATCACAAAGAATGTACAGGGATAGACATCAAGTATGTCAGATCATAGTTTGAATCAAGGAGACCATCAAGATGTTATGTCATGTATACAGTAGAAAATTTGTAAAAATATAACTTCTGCTGCTTCTTGACCTTTAAAATATGCAGAAATTAATCAGACTGCAAGCATTACCTGCTGTCATAGTTGATCTTAGTAGAAAAATGCTTTCTGGGGCATGTTTCAGCCAAATACTGATATTCAAGCATGTGAACAACCTCTGTT